AGCAAGAGGAAAACACCTCCCACACAAAAAAAGCGCTTCTTCACTATTCACAGGGCAACCTGTTATCAGAGCTAATTAGAGACTCCCACCTCCGTTATACATTTCTGTAATTAGGCTCTTAAAACATGATTAACATGTCTCAATTACGCCAGTCATCATTTGCATAATTTATAAGGAGCTCTAATTGCGAGTGAGTTTAGACTTGAAGCTGGGTAATAACAGAAACACACAGGAAACATTATGCTGCTACTGAGGCATGTCCGTTCCAACGGCACTAAGTATGATTAGAAATCACGTTCCAAATAAAACAGGAGGAGGAGAGGCTCCCCTCATGTAGCTGTAGCAAACGCAATATTTCTCCACAATTCACCACGACGGTCGTTAGATATCTCGCCAGCTCTAAAATTACGTGGCACACAAAAGAAGAAGCCCAAACTTTATAAGAAAACTGTGAATAAATATGTGAATATTACAAGAGTATCAAAATACAGCCCTCACAAAGTGTACTCTGTGCTTATCTCATAATGGCAATATTAATATATGAAAGAAAGACATTTATTTGAAGTTGAAAGTTGTTTTGTACGAATTTCCCAGCAGAATCTTGTTAAAGGTCATTACTTTGAGACTTGTGTGACATGTTTGTTAGCAATATATCAAATGTCTACTTATTGCTTTTCTCAGCATACATATGCAAAATGTATCATTTGTATGAAATGGAAATTAATTTGTCTAAATGCATGTTATTGATCGTATTGTGAACACTTCATTCATGCTTGCGTTTAATTTAAAAATAAATAAATAAATAAATAATCAAAACGTTAACTTCTCTCAGGTGATGCATGCTGGACTTCTCAAATCATTTAGTCCACTTAAACCCACCCCTTTCTTACAATTGACCGCAAACTCACACTCAGATCTGCCAGTATCCAATCAACAACTGCTGGATTTGACAAACTCCCTGAACTACAGTTTTTTTCTTTTTCGGTTTCACACGGATGTAGGTCTCAATACGGAAAAAAAAAGATTTCTTGCTACTTCATCGCACCATAAATGTCAAGAAAGGTTACCACATTTAACATTGGCCAATGAATTAGGGTCAATGGCATGACATTCATTTAGTCCAGAATCTATTCAAAAATAGTGGTTAGTGACAAGTACAGTATACGTTGAAGAGAGAATGTTTTTAATTTCTCAAATAAAATCGTTTTTAGGGCATAATTGGGGTGACAAACTCTAATGACTGTGCGTCAAAGACAATAAATCTCTTGAACATTTTAAAAAAAATACATTTTTATGGCAAGGCATAGTTAGTTAAGGCTGTAAAATGTCTCAAATGTGTTCTAACAGATTCCTCAAAAATGATATTTGATATTTGAAAAAACATTTTGCTTTGAAAACTTTTTGGAACATAATGATTAAAATATATTAAAATATGAGATACCTTTTTACTTGATGGTTACATCACATGACAGTTATTAAATAGAAAATGTAATTCTTAAAAGAGGTCTAAAAGTTGTTCAAAATGTTATGAAACCGACATGAACACAACAAGAAAGAGCAAAGTTTTTTATTTTATCGTGGACTCTTATTCGTCATTGACCCTCTATGGCTCAGAGAGTTCACGCTAAGTTTAAGTTTATTTTTCAATGCTCTGTTCATGATCAGGCAAATGTATGTCAATGTGAAACAGACCTAATGAAAGCCCCAAGGGTAAAACAGAGCTGAAACCCGATACCAACAAAACATCCAAGTTAATGTCCACCTTTCCAAACACGACCACCATCTACATGTTCCAGTCACTGAATTCAAATACACACATTGGCCTTGCATTTCCCAGAACACGTGGTACAAATACACGGACACTTAAAATAATCTGAAAGGCTTGCAGTGCAAAAGCAGCCTTGTTTAAAAGCCCCAACCCCGCATCACATCCTGTTCCGTGAGCCGCAGTACTTGTTTATACTCGCACGCCGGCCTGTGCCGTGTTAGCTCGGTCAGGCCCTGTGTAAAAATACACAGCGAGGTCAGGAGTTCAGGCCGGCTCTGTCTGCTGCTGGCACACCGTCCTGCCCCGCTTGTCAGCTGCTTGCCAGAGGAAGGCTCATCACCACGACTGTCAACACGCCGACGCCACCGCGCAACACGTGCTACGCGCCGGGCAACTCGCAGCCGTGTCAATCTCGGCAAGGCAGTTGTAGGTTATGAAGAATTACAGGAGCCGTGTCATTTTGTGCTCTCTCAACACGTCTGCAGATGAAATATATTAGCAGAAGGGAAATTTATTGTTCCTGTCGTAGAAACTGTGTCGTGTCTGAATAGGAATTACGAGTTGAGGTGGCCGAGGTGACGACGCACTTGATCCAAAGTTCTTGTAAATCAAGGTTATTGTGAGCTGAAAAAGTAGATTTTTTTTTAGACACAGAGCCACTGTTTCATTGAGACAAGCTCTCGATCGGCTCCATGACCTCCACAGTCTGTTATGAAAGCTAAGACACTGTTCCACAGCACACTACGCCATTTCAACAAAACAGACCCGCTACGGATTTAATAACCTCGCTTTCCTGGAATACACCTGGGACTCTACGGCTGCAACAATGTAAAACCATGAACGAGGCTGACTCTTTATTTTTTTTTTTTTAAATAAAGATTTAAAAAGGGCCTGACAAAAATGGTGGCTGCTCTCGTTTGGGCGCTCTGCGCTCAGCACATTTGCAGTAAATGTCAAGGCGGAGGTTTGAGCCATTTTCTCTGTGGCGGCGGAGGATTTTTAGTGGTGTCTGTCTGTGCAGTGTGAAATTACACCCTCACATTAAAAAGAGACAGAAGTGAACCGAGGTACAGCTCACGGCTAATTCCGTAGGAGAGAGTACATGGTGGGGGGTTAAAGCACAAGGATCTTTCAAATCAACCATCGGGGCTTGAGTTCATTTATTTTCAGTGTTAGCTAAACCGTGTTGCCGACACCATTTTCAACCGACACCTAAAAACACTTAATTTCTTTTCTTGCTATTTTTGGAGTGTTTACTTAAGTCACAAACATGTTACTATCAATAGCATCCACTTAAAAAGCATAAAAAAATCATTTGTACTCTCTGAATTCCCAGGCCAAGGCTAAAAATAAAATAAAAAAAACTACAAAAATACTTTGCAAAAGCTTCTGGCTGAATATTTGATGGTTTAAATCAAACTAATATATTTATATTTCTACAAAAAAAAAACACTTCCTGTTCCATTTGACAAGTTTCCTTCCTTTCAATTCCTTCCACAACTGGAAAGACCGAACTTTTTTATGGTTTCAAAGTGAAACAAACAAAAAGCAGGAAACAGCTAATGTTAATATTCCGATATGCATGCTGATCAAATGCAAGTAGGTTTGATGTTGATGATCCGATGCTCCTAATGAAGTCCTGAGAGAGAAAAGCGACTGCGAGGAAGCTGAAATGAGCCCCCCTTGACAAAAACAACACCGGGACTGCGTTCAACTACAAACAAAAGCTCAACATGAGGGGTGTTTTGTGTTTGTGGGGGGGGGGGGGGGGGGGGGGGGGGGTGACATCGTGTGTGTGTGTGTGGGGTGGTGACATCTCACATGAAATATGATGAAGATAATATAGACAAAACAAACAAACAACTAATTCCCACACAGGAGAGGGACATCACAACTATAATTTGACCAAAAAAAAGCACCATCTTCATAATCTTACAATTCTAATAGCTTGTTTGGAGTCAAACCGGGTTTATCACTCTAGTCAAAAGCTCTGCAGGTTCCTGGTTGCCAGGAACTGTGGGAAGAGAAGCAGGAGCAAAGAGTCAGGAAGAGGTCCAAGTCACTTTGTTCTTCATCTTGGAAACGAACTTTGAGTGAACCCCGGGTGACGGCAGGCAGTTCAAAAGAGTCAGGCATAACTCTTTCCCTCCTTGGAAAACCTTGCTAAACAAGAGGAGGAGGGAAAAAAGCGAACCTAGTGCCATGAGGCCCCTGTGATCGCTGACACTGTGGCCCTCAGAAGCCCTCTTCATTCGGTCAGAATTTCACTGAGGATGGGGGAACCTCTCCACTGCAGTGCATTTCAGACAGTGTGGCAGAGAGCCAACTTTAGCTGCCATGTAATGAAATCTTTGTAAATTACACTTTGGGGCTAATTAGAAGGAAGATACGGCTGTGTGTTGTTGTTCTTTTTTGTTATTTTGTTGTTGTTTCTCGCTGTAGCAATCTGCCTCGAAAACCTTCACTCAGGGACAATCGCATAATCAAAACAGCATGTTCATTTCACTCTAATGAATAGTGCTTCTGGTGGACTTTTTAAACTGCTCTTAAAGTGCCGTACTCAACCAGCTGCATTTTATGCACACAAAAACTTCAAAACTTATCCAGAAATAATGTCGAATCTGCATCTAACCAAACAGCGCAGCAAAGAATCAATAAAAAAATGGTGTGTCACAATAAGTCGAGTTTATAAAACTCAGATGGGCATTATCAAAACCATGAGGCAGAGTATTTTAAAGCCAACAGTCAGAATCACAATTTCCTAAAATCATATTCTCTAACTAAAGCCATTGCTATTCTCATATACTGTTGGCTATAAACAAAAATAACATGAGAAAAGGCGTCATCAATAGCTTTCAATGCAGCATAACTTAACCACACAATGTAAAATGCTGTATTCAGTAATAAACTTTAGCTCAGCTGCACAAATTATAACCATAACACACAAAATAATAATAGCTATCTATTTGAGGAATCTGAATGCTGTATAAATTACCAGATATTTGAATAGCATGATTTTTGTGTTATTATTGTAATATCAGAATTTTCACATGATGCAGTCCAAATATCTAATAACGCATATTCTCACAAGACACAATACATCACTGTATTAAAGAGCTCTGTAGCAAAAAAATATCAATATTTCAATATTCAGCTTAATGTGATAACTGGATTTAAACAAAGACTTGCAAGTTTTCGCTTTCTGTTCTCTATGTGAGACAGGAAAACCCACCTGTTTTTTCTTTTATTTCACACAGGACATTGAATAGAGCCGGCTTCATTCTGTGACAGTTCAGTGCATGTTTCCTAAAAACACAAACAGAAAATAAATAACAAGCCGTCACTATGCATGACCTGTCAAAACTGTCAAAACACAGACATTAGGCTTAGAAGGAATGTGTGATTTGGAAATTTTGAGTATTTTACAAATGGTTATTGATAGAAGACAGCTGAAAATGGCACTAAATTGCGCAGCACTTTTGGAAATGATAAAATGTGTTATACAAGCAAAAAGAAAATCTGAATATTTCACATGCATCATAGAGAGCAGCATGAAGTGGATTGCAAAGTGGAATTGCTATAAATACTCAATTAAGGTGACTGGCTGCTTTCCTTTAAAAAAAAGTGGATCAACAAATATATCATGATTAAATATAAATTACATATCAGTCTAAGAGGATTTCAATATGCATGATAATTATTAATAGGCCTTTAAAGTCAAGTTGTTCAAATATGATTTCAAATGTAAAATGTTTGCATTAATTTCAAAGTGTTTTAGAAACACCTGTGTTGACAGTTACTAAGGCTAATAGGGTCAAGTGACTTAATTTGACATAAATTAGTCTTCATCTTACTGCCTTATTGATTTTAATTACTATAAATTGATGTTATATTACATTTAAAAAAACCATTAATTTGTAAAGTACCAGATTTAACAACGTTCCTTCGACATACAAATACGTACGATTAATTTTTTTTTACGAATGCATGCTCAGTAACATTTATTTAATTATTAGATGTACTTGCAGTCCAAAAACTAGTACTGAATCCACCCGCAACATGCAGTAAGTCTATATGGCACTGAATCAATGCGCCTTCTCATTTGGAACCTGCGAGATCCGGAGCAATTGGAAATCGAAACGATGCATCTGGGAAGAAGAAGACGACAGCTCCAGATTGTGCACAGAGGCGCTCGGAAGTGGTGGTAACATGTTTGTAATGCAATATAACAAATGTACGCCTGCATAAAAGTTTGAAAGAAGACGCAAAAAGAAAGTCTGTGCGCTTCGGGTGGCGCGTCAAAATATAAAGCAGCTGACTTAAATACTGACGACGTGTTTCAGTAGCTACTATGAAGATAATAATAAAAAAGACAGCATGCATACACTCGTAGATATATACCTGGCCTGTGCCTCGTCCAGACTTTGGTCGGTTATGGTCATGATTTGTTGTAATATGTCTCCAATGTCCTGTTTTCTTCCCTCGCCGTCCGCTCCTCCCGTGCCATCCTGCATATGCTGCGCCAGGCCGGGGTGTCCGGCCATGCCCACCCCGTGAGAGGAGTGCATCAACCGGGGCTGATCATCCATCCTCGCCGATGTTCTCTAGACTCTGGTGACTTTTTCAATTCTTCCCTAGGAGAAGGAAAATTCCTTCAGAAACTCTCGCCGTCACTCCCCCTTTCGCTTTCTGGATGTCTGGAGCGCGCTTACAACATGGAGCGAGGGAGAGAGGGGAGAAAAGGCAAAGCTCCCTCTCACAGCTGGTTTGGGTGAAATCTGATCTGGAGAGCTGCTTTAGGATCAAGCCACTCCTGCTCTTGCCACCAAAGCCAAGACAACAGAGCCCAACTTTGTCTAAGGGCTGCTGTAATCCTGTGTAATCTGCGACTCTGCCGCGTAACTCCTTGTTTCCTCTGACAGCTTTACGACTGAAACAGCTCTAAGACGTGCTTTGAAGGCGTTAAACGTGGGGAGAGAAGTGCTTTTGTTTCGCACAGGTCTGCTGGCAACACTGACACATAACGGGAGGCTCCGCCCACCAACACTGGCACACAGCGATGGGGAACTGCCCATTGCCCGTGATTGGACGAGAGCGCGCTGTTGTCCCCGCCTTGGTTCTTCCACGGTACGTCAATCATATTCCTGAGGAAGGTTGGTCGCCGTAATAAGCTTTAAGATGTGGCGTTAGCGCTTGGACTGGACAGGGTGGTAACACGGTGATGGATAGGGGTTGAAGATGAAAATAAATAATGGTGTTTGGCGTACAAGCCCCTGTGTCCGCTCGAGACTGCATGTTATCTTATTCTGTAAATGAATGTGGTCATTTAAGATCTGTTTTCATTTGATGCCACCGTTGACATTTATGAACACAATTTACTTTTGCGTTTGAAGGGTCCAAACAGAGTTGTTAATGTATTTTACACAAAGTTGTCTAGTATCAAACATGGCTGGTGTAAATAGTCACATGACCAGAGGTGTTTGTACAGAATCTATTGAATCATACAGATCACCCTGTCATATAAATCATGATCATAATAAACATTTAGTGTAAGATGGAGGAAGATCCCCACCTTCAGAACAATGGCATTTACTCTTAAATTGTAACACAGATATGTAAGTTTGGCACGTGCATAATGTTGATGATGCATCAGCCAATGTGTTATTGGAATAATAGAAATAATGAAATAAATAAAATGAATGAAATAAATAGAAACATACAAATGTTGTTATCATAGCACAAAATGTAAAATTTGTCAGAGAATATATTAAATTAAACAAAGTAAAAACAATACTACATTTATTTAACCATACGCTTCATAGCAAATATGAATAAAACTTGCTGAGAATAAATTCAGAATTACATGGGTTAAATTTGTTTGACTGGGATTTTTGTAAAGCATTTAACATGACAGTCTATATTAGGCTAGTCTCTTATTAAAGAAAATTGATTCTCAACATGTTTTGCAACAAGACTCTTTTCTTCTTCTATAAACGACTATATACATACATGTGTGTGTGTATATACATTCATTAAAAAAAAAGACCATGCTGCTGAAAGACACTATGGTCACTCAATGTGTCTTGGAAAAATGATCAGACAGGCAGTTTGCTCAGCCATGTGGTCTATTTAACGGTATTAAATTCACTGGCTATTGACATGGAGCTCAGAATGTGGCAGAAATGTCACGCTCTGGCTGCAGGTGCTGGGAAAAGGACCAATAAAGAGAGTGTTAAAGAGGCCATTTCTGATGCCTGAGTACCCATCACTGGAACAAATATTCCAGAAGCACCACTCCAACTATTCATGTGATGTCTCATCCCCATGCTCAACATATGAGGTGTGTCACCTTCCATTATGTTCCTTATGAGAAACGACACCACTTTAACCTGTCCTACTTAGACTGCTGACATATACTGGTTGTATAGGTAAGGTAATATCTCAACTTTTTATTGGAAACAATATCATCAATTTCATAGAGCAAACAGATATCTGAGGGATATAAATCCTTCCATGCGTTTGACTATATTCAGAGCTCATGTATTAAATTCAGCTGGTTTACGCAAAAAAAAATGATTATTACACAGCAAAAAAAAAAAACCCTACTAAGAAAGATAGATAGTAAGTGCCAAATTACAAATAATTGAAAATGATCAATAGCCTAGTTTTATCCTATCTATAGGAACAAACAACTCATTAACATGAGAAAATGCAGCTATTTTTTGATGTTGTGATTTCATATGAATTCGTACAAAAACATAGGATTTTTAGAAAAAAAGCATGAAGGTCCACCCCTTAACTTAAAGGCCCACTGACGTGCCTTGGAACGCGCAGCTTTGTATGATGCGTTGACGTAATTTCCACTGAAGCTAAGGCGGGACATATTGAATGGCTCCTACCCTTTTCAAATAACCAATAGCGTTTAGTTTACCTCACAGACTGCAAGTCGTACTTGACAGCACCATGGAAGCGAATCCGAGTGCTGATGATAGCCTCAATGGTAGAGGTGTGAATAAATTCTAGCCATTTCATTCTTAAAGGACAACTCCGGTGCAAAATGAACCTCGGGTGTAATAACACATTGGTACAGACTAAATCGTTCCCTGAGATTTGTTTTCATGATAATCGAATGTAAAGAGTTTTATCTCTAAAAACTTATAACGATAGTATATTGGGCATCGAGTAAGCAAAAAGAGATCGCTAGTTAATACCACTAACAAGGCTCAAATTAGCCCCACACTAACACGGCAGCATAATGAGTGTCCTTACATGCAAATCGAAGCATTGAGAACTTTGTAAGTGTATAGACAGTTTAATAAGAAGATACTTTACAAAGACAGTACAGCTAGCGCATACAGACAGGACCCATCTTGGAAAACAGTCTCGATCAGTCAAACCATGAACACGGTGATACGTGAGCTGAACTGTGACTTGGAATCTCATATGGTCCGTTGTTTCCGGAAGAAAGCACTGAGCGCATAAGAGAAGCACTGAACGCAACAGAGAAAATAAAAAAATAAATATAATTTATCTTATCTTCAATATCTACACGTACTGTTCGCTCACCTTCGTGGTTCGATTGATCGAGACTTTTTTCCAAGATGGCTCCTGTCTGTATGCGCTAACTGTACTGTCTGTGTAAAGTATCTTCTTATTAAACTGTCTATACACTTACAAAGTTCTCAATGCTTCGGTTTGCATGTAAGGACACTCATTATGCTGCCGTGTTAGTGTGGGGCTAATTTGAGCCTTGTTAATGGTATTAACTAGCGATCTCTTTTTGCTTACTCGATGCCCAATATACTAGCGTTATAAGCTAAACTGTTTTTAGAGATAAAATACTTTATATTCGATTATCATGAAAACAAATCTCAGGGAACGATTTAGTCTGTACCAATGTGTTATTACACCCGAGGTTCATTTTGCGCCGGAGTTGTCCTTTAACCAACGTACAATTGGAAAATGGAATAAAATTCAAGCGTTTGAGCAACTGAATAACCCATATTGCACCGTGACGTGTCAACGGCCGCTTTGACCAGGTGGTATTTATAGCATAGGGGGCGGGACGCTTTAGAGTCTAGAGAGCATTTGATTGAACAGAAGATGTGATGAGAAGCTAAAGTCTGATGTCATAAAAATCCGTGATCCATTTTGAAATGAGAGACTGTAAGTTTTGAATGCTTATATCTCCAAAATGGGAATTTTGTCATTGTTTTGGAACACACCAGCTTATTCATAATCTTAAGGCCAACGTAGCTATTCATACTAAAAGCTAAAAAAATTACATTTTGATTTCAGGAGGCCTTTAAAGCTGCAGTCCACAGTTTTTCCTCTTTGTCGCCCTCTCTGTTCAAAATCTGCATTTGCAGTAATTCGCGGAATTATCAACTTTACGTGAGTTGTACCTCGGCATGGCACAGCGTGGATGAATCCAATGTTTTGAGGAGAGTGTGCAGCTGTCAGTCACCGCGCCGGTCTGGATACTGTCATTCAGAATCATAGATTCTACTTTTTTGGAAGTATGACCAACATAAGAATTTTCACCCTAAAATGTCATCAGAACAGGTAAGTAACATCCTCTCTTGGTCTTCTGACCAACTAAGGGGAAAAAAGCATTGCAGTAAATCGTGCTGGTTAAATCTAACGATCGCTTCTCATTTCACGTCAAACCGAGCAAATTATACTTTGTTCTCAAATTGTTAATGTTACAACATCAGCATTGCGTGACTACATTTAAAGCCCTTCAGATATTTATCCTTGTTTTCGCATGCGCCGGTTGCAGTCTCTTTTTCCAAACTCTCAGTCCAAAGACTTTTGCATTTTACAACGGTTGAATCTTCAGCTGTCACTGGTGATTGTCGTTTGAACCTTTCTGGATCCGCCATCAAATTAATAAGTTTTATTATATCAAGTGCTGTGAGAAAAGGCTATAAATCTCCACCTCCAACATCCTCACTCGAATTTCCCGCGGAAATCCACCAGTACCACTGGAATTAAAAACATTATTACAAGCTTACCGTTTTGAATCGAGCTAAGGCAAGCAGATAGTTTTGAACACTGGCTGGATATGTACTTGCTCAAAAACTTGATGTTTCTCTGCGAATAATGGCAAAATGGGATCACTCTTGGTAAAAGACATTTTTCACATCGTGGCAGAAGTTAAATCGATCAATCAGATTTCTCATTAGTTGAAGAAGAGGAGGAACTAGTTAATGATGAAAGGAATCAGCCCTGCTGCTGTGATAGTATCTGAAGACTGCTGGGCTGGAACAGATGTATAGGCTAAGTGACCTTCCTCTATAAAACCAGACCACACTGATTGCCTGACCTCTTCACAGCTATAGCCTACAGCCAGAACAGACTCTACAGCATCATGTATACCGTAGACACACAGCTCAATGTCAAACATCTTCAAACGAAACAGGAAAGAATACGGTGTTTTTGCACCAAGTATTGACTCACAAACAGTTGGCTGCTTGTATGCTTGTCCAGAAATGTTAGCAAAAATGTAACCGCTGCATAAACAGTATGAACATCTCTTATTAATGAAGAAAAATGCAACATCAGGCTTGAATATAGCCTTTTGATATAGTTTGCCATATTTGAACATTTCCCGGTCATTCTGCCAGTGTCAGAAATTGCCCGCACATTAAAAAAAACGATGCCCAGTCTGAATTTACAATGAGCTTCACGCAGCAAATAACACACTTACAGATATTTGACATTCTCTTGTAGACGCTTGAACTCTTGTGGTTTGAATTTAGAGTAGTTTGGTTTTCCCTACCGATCAGCACTTCTGTATTCCCAGCGGTGAGAGGAGCACGTTGTGCTGCTGCCGAACACTTTTCTAGCTCACTCGTTTCATTCATATTTATGCCAGCTCATCTAAATTGTCCTTTCTAATAACGTGTGATCTGCATACGCTCACTTATATCAAGCACATTCATCTTTTTCAAAGCTTTGGAAACATTGAAATAGTTATAAATGGTGTGCAGTGTGAGGCTGGATAGTTGGGTCAATCAAAATTAAGAGAG